TTGTTGATTTATAGATGACAATGTGTTATTCTATATTTTAGGCATTGAGGAAATTAAATAATGTGTTATTATGTATTTTAGGCATCGAGAAAATTAACGATAATTCCAATTATTTTGATTATTTATGAGTGGTTTGATTACAAGGAATGTGAGAATAATAGGGATGAACTTCATAATGATTACCTATTATGAGGTGATTTGTTGCTTTAAAAATAGAATTAAATGGATATGTGCATTTAGGTATGTTTATATGGGAAAAAAATTAAAATTATTAGAGAGAGTTTTTTTTTTGTTGGGTTTGTTGGGGGGGGGGGGGGGGGGAGAAATTAGAGAATAGTATAGTCGAAATTTGTTGAGATTGGGAAGTTAACATGCGGTATATTGATGTGTGAAATGTTCATGTGATAAATATGAAGGTTATTATCTTGTGGTATTAAGAAAAATTGATATAATTAAATGTTTTAGGTCATACGATATGACGATAAATGTCAAAGTTACATGATCATAACATGATATTGTGAATAGCATGTAAATGAATATAATGATTGTCCTGTAGTAAAATAATGTGATGATAGATTTGGAATATTAAGTTAATTAATTTTGTTAAGGCCATTTGTTGGATTATTGTGTTATATTCCATACAATTTGGAAGCGTCGAGTTAAATTTTGAAGTTAAGATGAATTTATTGAAATTTTAGTTATGTAATTTTTGGGCTAGTTTTAATTGTATTTTTAGATCATGAACAAAGTATTCCATTTTTAGCAAAATATATTTGTTAAGGAATATAAGAAGGACATGTTGGCTATGTCTAAAGTTTAAGATTATCATCAAATATAGATTTTACTCATTGTGAAATAGTATCTTTAGGTTACATTATCTTAATTAAATGTCTTTATGTGATATACAAGAAGGATTATGCATTGATACTAGATCAACGAACCATTTATGGAAAAAGAGTATAGATTTTCATGGATTAATTGTTATTATTATCTCTTTATAGAAAGAAGAACAAAATTCATATGGGTATAAAAATGTCAAAAGTTTTGCTATCAGAAAATTCTGAGGAAATATTTGCTCTTATATCTAAAGATGATAAGTGATTGATTCACGATAATGGTTTATGTTATGGTTTAGAAAGTGTTCTGTAAGTGAAATGATAAAAAATAGATTATGTTGTAGATTATTAAAAAGATATTATTAAAACATGATATATGGTTGGATATATTGAGATTGATATCTAGGAATTTTGGTGTTATCATATGGTTGGAAGATCAATACTTACTGAACACACGAGGTTATGGTATATTTGTATTCGAAAAAGAGCAGAACTTGAAGCTGTGGTTATATTATCGTTAGATGATAAAATGAAACATTAAGAATATAATATATTGATCATTAGGATGATCTTTACGGTATCGGTTCAACATGTATTCCATATGTTCAAGGGTTAGTAAATAGACGCCAAATTTAACTTATGCTATAAGATTATCAATGGAGTTGAAAGAGAAAGAAAATCTTACATATGATGAAGAACATGTTCAGATATTGGACAGGAAGAAATAAGTCTTGCGAAGTAAGATTATTTCTTTGATTAAAATCTTATGGAGGAATCACATTATTGAAGAAACAACATAGGAAAGTGAAGAACGGATGTGTTTCCAGTATCCCCAGATTTTTCGCACTTAGTGAATTGAATTTCGAGGACGAAATTCTTTTAAGCAGGTGAGTTTTGTAATACATTAAATTAAAAAAAAAGAATCAAACATGTCAAACAAAAAAAAAGAAATAAAAAAAAGGAAAATGGTGGCTTATATATATATATATATATATATCCACCAAACTCTCACTAATCCATCCAATTTCACACACCACAACCGAGAGAAACTGAAGCAAAGAGAAAAGAAAGAAGAAAAGAAAAAGAAGGAAAAAAGGGGAGAAGAAAAAAAGGAAAATTTTCGCCAACATGTTAGAAATAAGTTCTTCTACTATTAGGCTTGATTTCTTCAAAGTTAAAAGTAAGTAAAAAGTTACTTATTGAAAGGTTATATTTAATTTTATAGTTGTTAAATTAAATTCAATTTTATTGAAAGGATTAAGTATAATAAGCTATGAAATTGAGTTAAATAAAAGAAAAACTAGTTTTAGTTATTAAAGAGATTTTAAAAATTGTTTAAACGTGAAATGATTAAGTTTTGGCATCGCTTATTTAATTATTGAAATTACTTAAAATAATTAATTGTTGATTTAAAATTATATTATATTTCAAGCGGCGATACAGATATCGAGACAACTTACCAACTCAGTTGATTTTGTGAATATAGTTCTGTGAGTGAAAAAATATAAATATTTTTAAAGTATTTATAAATTAAGTATATTATCATAGTATGTGCAATTATGTGAATTATTTGTTCCATTATGCGATTACGATGAAAGTTTCTTTTATTATGATCTATGCAGAATTTCAAGGATTATTTATGGCACATTTGTGACTTGGTATGTAAGACATGTGATACTGGGATTTGTTTGGTACCTGAGACATGTAATATTGAGATCGGTCAAAAAAGTACCCATGATTATATAGTTCTTCTAGTTCACAGAGGGGCCTTGACCATGCTCTATCCTACACGGAGGTGTCTTGACCTAACATTGGTCTTGATCATGTACATATAGTTTACAGAGGGGCATTGGCCGTATTCTAGAATTGATTACCAGAGGTCTTTGAGACTGACTTTTGTTCACGGAGGGGGCCAAAGGCCCATGACGAAAGTTCTTAGTTCGAGAGGCAGATTACAGATTTTAGTTAGATGGTACATTTTTGGTGAATTTTTTCAGTACATTTGATGTGATGAGATTATAATATGATTACCAGCTTATGTTTATATCATGATTTTAGATGACATTTTATGACGTTATGTGGATGTCTCATGTTTTGGCTATAATTATATGATATTATCTTGCGAATTATTTAATGATATGAACTCGATTTTCGATAAAAATGTAAATTGAAAAGGTGTAATTATTTTCGAACTTCTACACTCACTGAGCTATCAACTCATATATTTTCCCGTAATTTTTTCTATAGATAGCAATTGATTTTTTTTAGCTGGAAGAGCCTAATGATTTCGGAATGAGAGTCACACGACATGTTGAATGTTATATCTCATTTTGATGAAGCACGAAGTAGATATTTTGGTCCCATCACATTATGTTTTATATAAATATTTGATTTTATAGCATATTTTGTAGTAAGTCATAGTCAACCTTGATGGTAGATTTGACATCTAGTCAGTATCTACCATCAGCGCACGTCACGTTTCGGGTCCATAGAGTGATTTGGGATGGGTCGTTTCGAACTTAGACAAATGCATTTAGCAAATTTGTAGTCCTTTGAGTTAGCTTTCCAATACATTTTGAATCACCTCAATCAGGTATCGAAAAAAAAAGTTATGATGAAAATACTGACGACTGCTTAGCTGTCACTAGCTACTAGCTCGAGCGACCGCTATATCTGGCCTAACCCTAGGTCGCAATTTGAAGAGTTCCACATGGCCCATGACACCTATTCATCTCCAACTATAAATATAGAAGTCATGGACAGTTTTTGAGAGGTTGCTACATTGTGTTATCATTGAGAAACACTTTCATATCGTTGTTCAAGATATCCAAAGCGCAATTCATTGGCGAATCCATCATATTCATTCTTGTAATCCGGCAACCAAGTTTTGAAAAAAATCACATCTTTGTAATCCAAAACACGTGGTTTTCTTAATTCATCGAGGAAGTGACTCTCTCATTGGGGATTGAGAGCTGCGGACTTCAAGCGAGGAAAAGCTCCAGAATAGGAGTTATGGGAATTCCACTTGGAAGAGGCAATTAGTTTAAGATCAGGAAGCGGGAAAAGATAGCAAATATTGTGGGCTGCAGGAGGTAGATCGGGAGATCTAGTGGAATGGCTATACAGTATCTACGGTCGTAGATCATGAGACTGGAAGATTGACAACGAGTCTTAGAGATTACATGAATTATTACAGATAGAACTATAGAGAGTTGCTAAATTGGAATCACATTGTAACCGTGATTGACTGTAGTTGAGGGAGCTGGCTTGGTTCCAGAATTTTTCCCATGTTGAGTTTCTCTGTCAACAAATCTTGTGTTGTTACTGCTTTTCATATTTATTATTATTGCGGCATTCAAATATAGAAAATTGGATTGTTTGTTTAATCATCTAGAAAACTAATTAAAAATGACATGTTCATTTAATTATTCAATTTTACATGTATGGTCGAACTAATCGGTAATTTGGAACGTAAACTTGGTAATCTTAAAAGTTCAAGTAGTGTGTTGCGTCCCCGACCTAAACTTTCAGAGTGCAAATCTTAACATTCACATTGAAACAATGCATATTTTTGCCTATGCTCTTTCTCTCTCTCTGAAGGTTAGTATTCATATAACTTTAATATATCGATTTTTGAATAATGTTGTTTTGATGACACTTCTCTATGTAGAAGGGGACTTCAAAAGGAAAACGAATCGTCTTTATGTATACAATTTATTAGTAGAGTAGTTAAAGATAGATACAAAAATGAAATAATTACTTTCATGTATATTTGAAGTTAACTTGTATATTTGAAGTTAACTATTCCCTAAGAGTAGTTGCATAGAACCAATTTTTTGCTGATCTTAATGCAAAAAATAGATTTTTACTCTTTATGTATTTTCTACCGAGTTCTTGTCACTGATGAATAAATTATGTTCTGAAAATTGTGGAATATAGATTAGATTTTCAAAAGCCCGTTTCAATAAATGCTTTAATTTTATATTAGATAAATTGATCATGGACGTTATGTTGGCAATTTGTTACGAGAGTTTTCAAATGATATTGAACATAACATGGTGCTTGTAGGCGATAATAGCTCTTTTATTACTTTCCTAATAAGATAGCACGACAACATGTTTATTTTGATGGAAAAGGCTAAAAAACCAGAGATACATGGTCTGTTTAGTTCCAGTGAAGAACAAGTTCAACAAAACAGTACAACGCCAAGGAAAATGGATAGAGAAAAAATGCTAATAAGCAAGTCCAGAAGGGATATTTGGTAGTTGAGAATCCCAAAATCCCTATTACGGCACAGACAACCAAAATAGTTAGCACTTCAGCTGAATAATCCCATGGCAAGTCCTTCACATACACAACTGCTAGCAGAATTGTCAAATTCGAGATGTTGTTCATTGCAACGCTATTATAAATCTGCAAGTTGAATGAAAAATGTTTCACCAGGGAGTCCTTCACAAATTCTTTAATGCTCTATTGTAATGTGCATACATATGAGCATGTTTGAGTGCTTGTATGTGTGTAGTGTGAGAGAGAGAGAGAGAGAGAGAGAGAGAGAGAGAGAGAGAGAGAGACCTCGGAGAAAATTAAAGATGCCGTTTTCTGAGTCTTTTCGCCAACTGGAAAGATAGCTTCTATTAAGGTTCTTGTATTCATTGCCAATGGCACTATCACAAATGAGATGGAGAAAGAAGGCACCCCTATGGCATATGATAACTGTAGGATACTAGTCGTGAGAGGTCCTCCAACAAAGGTCATTATAACAATACCCAAAACTATTCTTGATACACATTTTACAAAATTCCAGAAAGTGCGTCGATGAACGAGCTTCTCCCATACTATCTGCAAGTTAAGGGAGGGAAAAGGAAAAAATGGATGACTTCTCAATAAATTGTACAAAGCGTAACAAAAAGCTTATGTAGAAGATTTAAATAATTTACTTCTCACCCTGTCAAATTCTTTCACGCTTTTAGTCTTATCAAGACATTTGGCAATTTTAACGGCTTCATCAAGCCATTTTTTTATTCCATGGACAAATTCTTCTTTATCTATTTTATCATCACGTTTATAATGGAAATGGTAAACAATTGTTTTCACCACATCGTTGAGTTTCGGCTCCAAGTCTCCGAATTTGACTGGTTTGATTAGTTTCTTTAATTCATCTATTGATATCTCATCGTTACCATCAATAACATATTGTCCAAAGAGGCTGCCAGAATAAAAAGAATATTGTGAGGAATTTCTGTCAAACAAAGTAAACAAACAGGCAAATTGTAATAAATTACTCTTTAATTTTCTCAGTGTTGGCTTTTCCATCTTCTCCGATAAGCGATTCTCCTTCAGGTAGTTTGCTTTGAGCGTGCACTAGAAATTTTGACATTATTGGATGAATTCCCAGTTTATGATGTTTTCTCATCAGGTAAAACTGTTGAAAGATCTGCAGATCAACCCGAATAAGATATATATTTATAAATAATTTCAAAAACTATAATTGATGCACATTGCACTTGAAAGCGGCATGGTGTTTAAGTAAATTGTAGCTGAATTATGCTAAATTACGAGCGATAGAATACAATCAAGAGTTTGGATATTTTTGTTTCATCCTATACAGTAAAAGAAGTAACATAATAATGATAGGACTCTAAATACATTTATGGAAGCAACATCTTGCAAATAAAACTTTCACAAGATAATTGCATTAGTGTCAATAGTTTTAAAATTTGCTTGAATTAGGAAGCTTGCCTCGTCCGAAAATTCTCTTGAAAAGAAATCACCGTCTTTAGATAAGAATTCACATGCTTTGGTGAATTCATCTAGGTTGATTTTCTTGTCATTGTCGTGATCAAAATTTTTAATTGTCTTAGCAACAGCTGATTCTATATCACCGTCGGACATCCCTGGCTCGATTTTTTTAAACAACTTTCTCAATTCATCATCTGTTATATAATCGTCATCATCTTTATTTGCTTCATTAAATACCCTGCAAAGACAAGTCTATAATGAGAGCCTTCACTGAATATGATTAGCAAATCTACACATAATATTTCAGAAGTTACTCTTTGATGCGATCATGGTTAAGATTCCCAGCATCATCAACAATTTTTCCCTTTTCTTCCAAATAACTCATAAGCACTTTTGTTACAAACTCATACTGCAAGTAGTCTGAAATTAATAACTGCATCCAGGGATCACAAATCTGAAAAGCAAAAGAAAATTAGCAATATTGTACATGAAATCAAGAGTAATACAGGTTAGCCTTTAATCATATTACCTGATAGATAAAATAAGTAAGTAAAAATGCGGCAGACACTATGCATGCTATCAAAAGCACTGTGCGGGATGCATTGAAGATATCAACTAGTTGCACAATAATGTAAGGAACCAAAGATAGAAGCATAATCCCAGCTAGAGGCTGAGTTGCCTCATGAAGTGTAACACCGGTATCTGCAGTTAAGAAAGAATTGTCAGTTCTTATATATTCTAATAGCAAAGATCAACTAATTCATGTGAAGGAGGCAAACCTTTTAATTTTGATTTTTCTCGAGATCCTGAATCCGCAGACTCTCCGTTATTTTGCAAATAATTCGCGCCATAAATCAGACATATACCCCACTGCAGCGTGAGAGTAAATACAGTGACTCCAGCAAAGATACCCACTCCAAGTGACACCAGAGACTGAGCTGTCTCTTTGCTACCGAAAATTCCAGATACTACAAAAAATGATTGTTTCCTTTATCATTTTGTAGATTTGCTTAAGGTTTTGAATTTTGTTATGAAGTAAACAAAAGATCAATTATAACTTACTGATCATCATCATCATTGATGGTAACCCCATGAGGATGCGGAAAATGATACCAACATATTTGCTTGTGTGAAATTTTATTTCAAGGATTTTAAAGAACACCTTGCTCCCAATGCTCAGCTGCATTCCTCCAAATACTAGTAGACCCTGATAAACCAGTATTTGGAAAATGTATCCTCCAGCATTTTCTGCACATGGTAGGAAGCCATATGTGTGCTGACAAGTGCTTGTGGACACAAGAACATCATTCGCGGTAAGAGTTTGAGATTGATCTTGAACATGATCAATTCCATCTGAGATTAAATCATCAGAGGAATTGATTCTCAGAATTCGGCCGTGAACGGAGCTGATAAAAGATATAAACACCAAAATGCTTAAACTAGCAATTGTTGCAGTGAAAATTTGTATATTGCATGGAAGACTGTGAATGCGCATAGCCATATTTTTTGGATAATCAATTATGCAGTAATGAGTGTGCTTCTTAGTGCTGTAAGGAAAATGGAAGCTATTGATCTCCTTTTATACTAGTGGACGGCTTGAAGGGGTATGAATGAGACAAATCTTCTATTTAAAAATGAAAATTGCATTCCTAGTCCTCCAACTTATTAGTGTCAATTAGTTGTTCTAAAAAAGTTAACAAAGTGGTCCCTAGTCTTTCTAGTTTATAGCATATATGCCATTGTTTTTAAAGATATTAAACAGAGGAAAAAAAGTGAAAATGTTAACTGACGTCAATAATTGTGATGTCATACTAGTTACTAAACAAGTCAATAATGTTGCCAGGTGGTTACTTAATTTCTTTATTTTAAATTAATATTATTTAATTTCACTAGGGTGATAGTCAAATTTATGTAGCTCTAATGTGACATTAAATAATAAGTTAAATGAAATAATTTTACCTTTTATTTAATCTATTAGTTAATATCATATTGATGTCACATGCAGTGTGGTTATAATATAAGTGGAGCTAAATAATATTTTATATTATTTCGTGAAGATAATGAAGTGACGTCAAATAAATGACCAAACATTCTATTTTATGAAAGCTGGTAGCTGAATTTTCAACCGGTCAATTTCACGTTTAATTATGGGAGGTTCTGGAGACTATAAAAAATCGAAATAAATGGTACATCATTCTCTCTGATTATTACCCATTTTAACCCAGAGTATTTACTTTTTCCAGATGTGTAATGCATATGTTATTTTGAAGTGATCTATTAATTTATTAATAAGAACAATAAAGCTACTTGTACTAAATTGAATTACAAAGTGTGTTGGAAAAATTATGGCCATTGATTTGAAATGATTTAAAAATATGTTTTTAAAATGATTGGTATGGACGTTATTTTGTCAATCAACTTTGTAACCCACCTTTGTAATTGTAGCATAGCTCTAATAAGAATTTACAATCCGTCTCCATTAATCGCTCGGGCATCGACCCAAGAAGAATCCACTTTAGGCTTATTGGTAATCTATGATCAACTTCCTTTCATAGTATCCTACCTCCAAAAATTATCAAAACTATGTGATCGAATTAGAACCGGACAATCGGCTGATTGTTTCTCCAATTCTACTCAATTTTTAATCAATTCTTGATATTAAAGTTTAGAATCGATCGATTTCAATCCGACTCTCAATTACAAAGTCAAAAATAAAAAATCCCGATTTAATTCGAATTTTTTACTTTTTATTTTCAAAGGTGACTAGCATAATGCATCAACTACTATACTTTTTTCATATGAAATTCATCATAATACATCAAACTCATATCCAATTTAATATGGTATTATTTATAAACTCATGTTAAAGAAACCAATAAATTCAAAAGATGTAATTTTAGATTAAAAAGAGACTTGAGTTTCTTACATCTTTTCCAAGTCAGCATTTTTTTATCGCTCGAAGTATAAATAAAATGAAAGTGATATTGAAACATGTTTTTAAAGAACTCTTTGAAACCAAAAGTTAAGCATTTGATATATAAATAGTTGTGTTTTGTTAAACTTTAAAATGCAAATCATTGCATCGGTCGACATCGGTTTCTACACAAATGATGTAGTCAATAGATTTTTGCTCGTGTCGACATAGCTTATCTCCAAACAAGCCAAAAAATTGTTAGGAGCCCATGACCTTTTCTAATTTATATTGAGTGAGTTTAGAAAGCAAATCATTTTAACAAATTTCCATTGGCTTCTTTTTCCCATCGCATTCCATAAATACGGCTTGTTGGCATTATCTTAAAATTGAAATATGGTCCTAGGTCCTAACATGCAAGTGAACCTACCATTTATCAACGAAAAACATGTGATATAAATCAACTAATTATGTTGTGACTCGTGCCGAAAAACAATTATTGATCAGACCTTAAATTTCAACATTTCACAATACTGTTCTTTAAAAAAATACAAAAGATTTTGAACAAGATCCTAATTTCGTAGTCAAAAAAGAATAGGTAGGTTAGTATTGAATATTCACAAATTTAGACTTTTAAGAGTTTGAGCATCAATTTCAAATAATGCATTGGTTTTCAATTAGCTTAATTGATTCATGGACGCTCTACTGACACTATGTTATAGAAGTTCTCAATTTCATATGAATGAACATATTAGTCCAAAAAACAAAAAAAAAAGGAAAACACTTGCTTTGACATTCGTGGAAGGCCTCGATCGTAGCAAGTATGCTCTCGGCCGGCCAAATCTATTTGTGTGAATGAACATACTGTGTATAGAGGAGGACTATATGCTCGCTTGAGTAGGCAAGGCTTGGTTTTGGTGCACGAGTACATAACTTACCTATTGATGAAATTTACAAAAAAGCTTGAAATGCCATTCCTATATGTAAAATCAATTCCATTTTCCAGCATCAAAATTTCCAAGGGAGAAGCCATATGGCCATGGTTAAAATCAGGTCAAAAAATAGAGAGCCCCTTTGGGGGGGGGGGGGGGGGGCTCCTTTGTCGGAACATCAATCATTTATATAATTCACTAATTAAAAAAACCAATAAGTAAAAAAAAGAAAAAAGAAAAAAAGAAAAGTCAAAAATGTCATGCCATAAAAAAAAAAAAAAAGAAAGAAAGAAAAAAGGAAAACCAATAACAATTCACAAAGACGGACGGTGTTGGATTGAAATGGACATTCACCAAGTTTAATCCATTTGATTACACACACAAACAGCCAGAGAAGAAGGAGAGCAGGGAGAAAGGAAGAGGAAAGAGGAAAGAGAGAGAAAGAAGAAAGAAAGAAATAAAAAAAGGAAAATTCGTCAAGTTGTTAGAAAATAAGTAATTTTTACTATTAAGCCTACATTTTTCAATTTTGAGAGGTAAGTAAAAAGTTTCTTATTACATACTTATGTTTAAGTTTAGAGTTGTTAAATTCGTAGTTTAAATTCAATTTTATTGAAAGGGAAATATTGAATTAAGTATAGTAAGCTAGGAAACTAATTTAAAGGAAGAAAAATAGCTTAAGTGATTAAATAAATATGGAAAATTGCTTAATAAGTATAAAATGATTAAGATTTGGTATTGCCTATTTAATTATTGAAGTCTTTTAAAGTGGTTAATTTTTAATCTAAAAATTATATCATATTTCAGGCGGCGATGCGATAACGAGATAGCTTATCAATCGAGTTGATTTTACGTACATAATTCTGTGAGTGGAAAAAAATTATATATTTTCAAATATTGATAAATTAATTATACTATTGCATTATGTGCAATTATATGAATTTATTGTACAATTACATGATTATTATGAAATGTTCCTTATTATGATTTATTTATGAAGTATGTGACATGTAATATTGAGATCGATTAAAAATGTACCAGTGATTATATATTTCTTTTAGTTCACAGAGAGACATTGGCCGTGTTCTATCCTACACGGAGGGTCTTGATCAGATACTGGTCTTGACTGTGTATATATAGTTCACAGAAGGGCCTTTGCTGTGTTTTAGAATTAATTACCAAAAGTCTTGAGACTCGCTTTCGCTCAAGCAGGTAGCCAAAAGGCCCATTGCGAAAATTCTTAGTCGAGGGACGGATTACAGATTTCTATCAAATGATACATTTTTTGTAGATTACATGTGGTGTGATGAGATATTATAAATTTGAGTTGAGAATTATATCATGACTATGAGATTATAAATTTCAGCATTATAAGAATGTCTCCCATCTTTATTATTATTATTATTATTATTATTATTATTATTATATGCTAATTGTAAACTATTAATTGATGTAAACTTGAGTTTAGATAAAAATGTATAAATGAAAAGTATATCTACTTTCGAATTTCTCCATTCACTGAGCTATCAACTTATATATTTTTTCACAATTTTTTTTTATTAGGTAGCAGTTGAATTTTTGGGTATTTTTGGAGTTGAGTCTTTGATTTTGGAGCCAAAGCCATATAACAGAGCTTACTAGTATAACTCACTTCATTGAGCATGTAGTTAGTGTTTTGAGACGCATGTTCATGTTTTAATGTGATTTTGCATCACTTTAGGTAGTTATGGAGCTCACTACGCATTTTGTATCTATATGTACATTTCATTTTATTTTCTTAATAAAAGTTAAGATTTCGGCTTATCTCTATTGTATTACGTTATATATTTTGGAATTTGTGTATAGTGGATTACAGGTTGGTTAGTCCTATTTACAAAGAGAAATAATGTTGAAATTCTATAAAATAATTTATAAAAGTTGCATATTGTATTAGCCTTGATGGTGGGTCGAACTTTTAGTTGGTATCTATCATCGACGCACATCATGTTCCGGACCCACTAATGTTACTCGAAGTGGGGACATGTCAATTTACATGATTGATTCTAGTGTCAATGTTATGGACTTTATATATGCATGCCTATTTAACTTTTACAATGAGATTTCAACATGATAGTTGCACAATTCAACGTACCAAAAATGTAATAAAAGTAAAATGCATGTCTAGATATTTACTTTTAGCATCACTTATTGCTTTCAAATTTTTGAGTTTGTATTTTTAAGCCTTAAATTAAACACTTGATAAGATTATACTTAACAAATTTGAATGCATAGTTGCCTAATGTTGCTTCCTGTAGAAACTCTCCTAAAAGATAGAGCTTTTGAGAAATTAATTTTTAAATACCAAATTAAGATAGATTCATTTGAAAGGTCTTCTACAATAAGCAAAAAATAAAAGTAAAACCCCTACCAAACTAATTCTAAATATCATTATCAATATTTTTAATAATGCACTACGTGGCTACCTATTTTCATTATTATAATGAGATAATTATGTGATAACAAACACAAGAGATTATGCATCCATAGTTGCGTATAGAATTAACGCAAGTATGATACCAACAAATATCTTATAGGCCAATTCCAGCATCCAAAAAGCGAAGAAACAGTTTCTACCTAATTTTGTTACCTTTTTATTTAGTTTAATCATCATATCTTTTG